GTTCCTCCAGTATTCGGGAGTTGCATAATCTCATAGTCAGAGGAACATGTATAAGTCATGAAGAAAGCAGTAGCAATAAAACTAAATGATCATTATGCTAAGCTAACAGATGGGTCTTGTCCATCTCATCATTCTCTAATGATGTGATCCCGTTCATCAAATGACAACACATGTATATGTTTAGGAAACTTAACCATCTTTGATTAACGAGCTAGTCAAGTAGAGGCATACTAGGGACATACAGTTTTTTCTATGTATTCACACAAGTACTAAGTTTCTGGTTAATACAATTCTAGCATGAATAATAAACATTTATCATGATATAAGGAAATATAAATAATAACTTTATTATTGCCTCTAGGGCATATTTCCTTCAAGTATAACTAGTTTCTTGCAATTTTATCGTGTTAGAAACATAGGGAGGTGGAGATGTAGTTCCTCTCTCATAATAATTGCAAGTAGGATCAGCAAGCACATGCATATTATATTCAACAAAATCATCATGTGTAGTAGTAAAACACAACCCATCAATATAATCCTTAATGAGAGAAAACTTCTCTGATATAGTGTAGTTTGGAGAATTCAAAAAGAGAATAGGACTATCATGTGTGGCTGCAATAGCAACAATTTCATTCTTAACATAAAGAACTATAGCAAGTTCATCTCCACAAGCATAAGTCAAATTGGCATCTGGCCACAAACATAGCAAGCATCAAGTTCATCCAAAAGGGATATTTCAAATGAATCAACAGGATCATAGCAATCATCGTAGCATTCATCCTTCAGTAAGCATGAAGGGAAATTAAACAATGTATGAGTTGAAGAATTACTCATTAGAAGGTGGGAACGGGTAGCTAATCCGCTCTTCCTCCTTTTGTTCTTCACTCTCCTCATCATCTTTTTCATCCAATGATCTCACAGTTCCATCAATTCCTTCTTCCATAGACTCCTGCAAAATATTAGTCTCTTCTTGGACATCGGAGACTTTCTTAATAAATATATCAATATCAGAATTGTATTTGTAATTATCATAGCAATATTTAAGGATAGCAAAATTTTCGGGTCTATAAACATCATCATCAAAAGCTTCATACTTTTCAAACAAAGATTCAATTTCATAAGCACCCTTAAAAACAACAAATTCTTCTATTCTTTCCACATCATAGTAATCATAGCTACCATTAGCATAAGAAGATAAGGTTCCATTATCATTAAATTTGCACGAAAAAGGTACTGTGTGGAGCCTTCATCCTAGAGCAACAAGTATAATCATATCTCAAGCATAGCTCCTGAGCATACCAATGCAACATATGAATTTGATCCCATAACAATTTCCCTTTATGAGTCAAGCGGTAATCCCTAAAGTATTCACGTTGATCCAGCGTTACTTCCATTATATAGTTGAATGGGGTTTTCTCAGGATTATCAATGTAGTGCATAATATCTTTCACATAATGAGCATCAAGGGCTTTAGGAGGTTCCCCATCTCCATGAGTAGCTAGTACAACTAATTTTTTTGGTGTTTCGTGTTCCATATCTATAATTAAAGATATAGAACAACTTAGAACAGAAAATAAAAACTACTTAGTGATAAAGCAAACAAGCACACATGAGAATATTCACCCCACGCTATTGCTCCCCGGCAACAGCGCCAAAAAGGTCTTGATAACCCACAAGTATAGGGGATCGTTTATAGCCTTCTTCGATAAATAAGAGTGTCAAACCCAACGAGGAGCTAAAGGTAGAACAAATATTCCCTCAAGTTCTATCAACCACCGATACAACTCTACGCACACTTGACGTTTGTTTTACCTAGAAAAAGTATGAAACTATTTTGCAAGAATAAAACTATGAGTATTTTGCAAGAATAAAACTACGAATAAATTGCAAGGTAATAAAAGTGGATAGCTTTTGTCAACAAGAAAGTCATATTCCTAGGCAATCAATAACAAGTACCGGTAATCATTATTGCAATTCTATGTGAGCGAGAGGCATGAACTAACATACTTTCTCTACTTGGATCATATGCACTTATGATTGGATCCCTAGCAAGCATCCACAACTACTAAAGATCATTAAGGCCATGAAACCCAACCATAGCATTAAGTATCAAATCCTCTTTATCCCATACACAACAACCCACCTACTCGGGTTTAAGATTATGTCACTCTCGCAACCCACCATAAGCGAATCATGAACGTATTGTAACACCCTACAGCAGGAGCCCCTCATGTTTGCGCGTGACAGAGGGCACCGTAGGACAGCACCATAAATAAAATATACAATCATACCAACCAGTATCACGATTAACCCACAGGACAAAACGGATCTACTCAAACATCATAGGATAACCATACATCAATTGTGTTGAGTTTCTTTCATATATATGTATTGACCCCCTTCTTTAAATTAGATGTGGCAGATGCAGGATGAACCCCTATCACATGATCGCATACGAGCAATTCAAGAGGAATTGGCGGGATTTTTTCTTGACCACGTCATAAATGAGAAGCGAGAATACCATGTGGAAATTGAAATGGATTTTAGATGTTAGGGGTTGTAAGAGATGTTATATTGTATATATGTAGTAGCGTCGGATAGATATCCGAAAACTTGTTGTTCGACCAATCTCAGAGAAAGAGAGGTCACTTCTCTCTATATATGTTCATGACGATCTTGTGTAATTGATGGTTCCTTCATTTGCTTACTAGCTAGCGTGTCGAGTTCTCTCTATATGTATAGTAGCTAGCGTCGACCAAGCACGGAGAAAGAGAGGTCACTTCTCTCTATTAGCTAGCTAACACAATATGAAATCTCTAAGTTAACCCTCCAAAACCCCTAACCCCTCCCTTTCAGAAAAAACCCAGTGTCTTCGAGCCGCTGACGCGTGGCTGCCTTTTGATCTTAGTTGGTGTTACCAACCGGGACTAAAGGTCCTCCTACCCGGGCGCCCCGCAACAGCCACGTGGAGCCCCTTCTGTCTCGGTTCGTAAGCAAACCGGGGCTAAAGGTTTTGGGCTTTAGTCCCGTTTGTTTTGTCTCGGTTCCAGAACCAGGACTAAATGCCCTCTGAAACCGGGACTAGTGCCCTGTTCTCTACTAGTGTCATCCTTCCACTAATTCGCTTAAAACATTCCAACATTTTGATAACAATTGTTGAGTCGTTCGCATAAGCAAAAACTTGAGTGCAACCAATAAGGTATGCAAAAAGGTAAACTCTTCTTTGTTTCAAAATGTGATAAGCTCACACTTTTCAGTGTTTTTCCTTGGCCAACAAGACACTCATGATTTCTCATTTGTTGCACCGCCAGTTATTGCACCGCCATATTCCTTGAAATGGGGGTTGCTTCTTTTGCAGGAGGGAAGAATACGCAGAGCACCTGTTTTTGTTCTTTCAATTTGTGAGAAAAGTTTGGCGTGAGGTAAAACACAGGTATCATTTCCACTTGTGTCGCAAGAGTTTTGTTAACATCAAGCAGTGGGTCTTCGATTTTTTGCAGAGGGCTACACCCGTTGAAGCAACTGCTTTGGTGGTTACTATTTGGCACATATGGGAGGCGAGAAATGATGTGAGGAACAATGGTGTGATTCCGCATCCACTTTGTGTAGCTGAAAAAAGTATTGCTTATGTGGAATTGATTGTGCAAAATTGCTTTAAAACTATCGAATCTAGGCGTGTCCACCCAAACCCTCCAGTGTCTCCATGGGTTCTGCCGCCAGCAGACACAATGTTTGTAAATGTTGCTATTGCACTATTCCAGAATTTGCGATGGATGGGAGTGTGTGTGTGTTGATTCGGAACCACAACAGATTGTGCTTGTTGGCCTGCCATGAGCACATAGAGTTTACCACGCCAGAACTAGAAGAGGTGCTAGGTCTTCGACGTGTCGTTGCTTTTACTTGTGAAGAAGGTTTTCAGAAAGCCATCTTCACTTCAGACTCTCTTTTCATCATCTAGAGAGTTCTTTCTCACACGACAGATCGTTCACACTTTGGGACTGTAGTCACTGACATCAAGGTTTTTGGTGGCAACTTTTCGCTTTGTTCCTTTAGTCACGTTAGTCATGAGAGCGACACATCCCGTATCGACTAGGGATGGAAATGGCGCAGTAAACGGAGTGAAATGCGTCATTAGTTCATTAACTCAAACTGACTTATGCTTTAGGCCACGAAACTCAGGAATTGATCAATTGATGCCATAAACTCATTAATTTAACCAGTCAGAGCAGTTTTAACATGGTCCCTCTTACCTCCTCTTTTCACATGAGAGGTAAGAGTATAAAATAGATTTGAGCCATTGATCTCATTAATTAATGGCCTGATTAACTCTTATCTTCTTACCTCACATGTAAAAAAAGGAGGTAAGAGGGACCATGCTAAAATTTGCCAACCAGTTAAGGCCAAAACGATCTGGTGAGAGAGAAAAAGAATGACATGTGGCTGCCACGTCAGCGTTCCCTAGGGGGTGAGACGGTCGATCATCGCCGGTTATATTGGAAGGAGAGACGTGCACAACACCGCCGATCAAATGCATCGCTTCAAGGAAGCATAACCATCAAAGCCGGTCGCGTGCGGACTGTGGAGATTCCCATCAGGCTCTGCGCAGCGCTGTAGTACATCGCCAAGCCAGCGGGTGACTTTCGCGCCAGTTCCAACCTGCGCTGCTCGGTCGGCACGGCCTTGCTACCACAAACGAAATCAGAGCTCAGCCAGTCAAAACCACACCCCGGCAGGAGTCTCGCACGTTCCGGCGCCCGAGCAGAGGCAGACGGCAGACGGAAGTTTCCCTCAAAGCTCACACGGAAGCCAACATAAATGTTTCCTGAAGAAACAAAAAAAACAAACTCACGGGGGTCAGCGACGCGCGCGCGCGTCGCGTCCAAGCACGCGCACCGGCGCACCGCCCCGCCACGACCGCCACCGTCCCGCGCGCCGTGCGTCACGGCTACATAAGGGGCGTGGACCTGCCCGCAGGCACGGACGCGCCCCGTCACGTAGTAATGACGGAAAGGATGGATCGCCGCCGCGGGAGCGCGCTGCGGAAGCGGCCGCCGGCGATAGACGCGACGCGCGCCGAGTCGGAGACGGGCGAGGGCCGCGAGGAGCCGGTGAGCCCGACGGGGCGGCTGTTCCGGGAGCCGCACTTCAGCTGCTACATCGTGTCCGTGTTCGGCCTCGGCGCGCGGGTCGACCTGGCCGCCGTCCGGGCCGGGCTCGAGGCCACCCTTGCGCGCCACCCCCGCTTCTGCAGCATCCAGGTACGCACGCGTGCTCCCGCCATCGTTCCGTTTCCGTCTTGATTCATTCTTGGACCACCATGGTTTTGATGTGCCGTGCGTAGAATGATCGTGTTGCACCAGCGTTCACTTGGAGATTAGAGTACAGACTACCGAATGTGTACTGTTCCTCGTTCCCAAGTACCATTGCTGCTTCAGCCGACCCAATCACTGGGTGTGTACAGGAGAAAGCGAGTGCTAACAGCTAGCACTAATGAGCTAGCGTTCTTGGTTGAACTTTTCCTGTTGGTTCGGAAGTTCGGTAGTGAGCTTTCGAGATACAGTTGCCGAGTTGGGCTCATCGGTAATAAGTTGTGATAGTTCAGTGTATTAATTGGTCCTGCAATCTGCAGTAATGTCATGTGTTCCGTGTGCCTTAAGAAACCTCTCTCTGCCGTCCGAACCGCATGATGTGATTTCTGATTCTGTACATCGACTGATCGATCCAAAATGATCCAATCAAGTACTACGAGCTTGGCAGCCTCCCATTCGTTCGCGCCTAGTTCAATCACTGCATCTGATTAACGTGTCGTGAGATTAACCAAACCAAACCTCATTTCTGAGCTTGGCAGGCTTCCAAAATAGATGACCCAAAAGAAACACAAAAATTCAGTACTCTTCTTACGCATGGCATGCCGTGCGTGCAGGTGATGGACGAGCTGGAGGAGGACGCGAGGCCCAAGTGGGTCCGGACCACGGTGGACCTCGACGACCACGTCGTCGTCCCGGACCTGGAGCCCACCGGCACGTCGGCAGACCCAGACAGGGCCCTGGAGAGCTACGTGTCGTCTCTGTCCACGCGCCCCATGGACCACTCCCGCCCGCTCTGGGAGCTGCACGTCCTCGACTTCCCCACCTCCGACGCCGACGCCGCCGTCGTGCTCCGCGTGCACCACTCCGTCGGCGACGGCGTCTCGCTCCTGTCCCTCTTCATCGCCTGCACCCGCCGCGCCGCGGACCCGGACGCGCTGCCGGAGCTGCCGGCCACCGCCGCCCCCCGTCGCTCTGGCCCCGTGTACGCCCTGCCTTCGGGCCCGCTGCTCGCGCCGTCGTCATGGGGCGCCCTGGCGGCCCTCGCCGCGTGGGTCGTGTCGCTGCTCCTGCTCGCGTGGCACACGCTGGTGGACATTCTGTGCTTCTCCGCGACGGCGACGTCGATGCTGCGCGACCCGCCCACGCTGTTCAAGGGCGCGGAGGGCGTGGAGTTCCGGCCCAAGCGCTTCGTGAACCGCACGCTCAGCCTCGACGACGTCAAGTACGTCAAGAACACCATGAACTGCGTACGTGGATCCTCAAATCCCGGCTACACATTCGATTGTGAGTTCTTTTCCTCTGAAAGATGAGTTATGTGATCGATTAACTTGCTGGATTGCGATCCCTCTCTGCAGACGGTGAACGATGTGCTGCTTGGGGTGACCTCTGCGGCATTGTCTCGGTTTTATTTTCGGAAAACAGGTGAGGGCGAGCTCAAGTAATTTTACCTAGTTGTCTTGTTGATATTTTTTAATTAACCAGACTTAAAATAATTTCAGGAGAAAGTGGTAGAAAGAGCATCAAGGTGCGGTCCACTCTTCTTGTGAACCTGAGGAAGACGCCCGGTCTACATGTAAGCGCGGCGGCGAGCACTAGGGATGGCAATGGGTAGGGTATGGGCGGGTACAACCTCCTTCTACCCAAACCCATACCCATAGAAACTTTTTATACCCACCCACTTCAGTACCCCTAGGTATAAACTGACACCCATGCCCATATCCATCGGGTATCCTATACCCAATGGGTATCCATTGGGTACAATATATAGCATTCAAATTATTAAGAAGTAGAGAAATGAGTTCAAAATTCAAGTGATCATGGTAGAGTAGTATAGCACGTATGTGGCCTCCTCCAGTGGGTGGCCACTTGGAGGCATCAGGGAAGTATGAGCAGCGGTTGGTGGAAGGCCGACACAGTGGAAGGCGGTGGTGGGAATTGGGGATCACTGGATCGAGTGTTCGACAAGAGTCTGGTAGCGAAGAGTCAATATTTCATCTTTTTGAGGAGTCACATAGGACGTATGAGGAATGACGAGCAGGTGATTATGAGCCTATGAGCTATGACTTGTTTAAGGAATACGAGATTTAGGGTTGGACCATATGAGTTGGATGTTAACCCCACATGTTATAGGAGTTATTTCCATTTATTAATTTTGTCTGGGTATTCATTGGGTTACCCATAGACACAATTTCTTACCCATGCCCTACCCATATATTTTGCGGGTATGGGTACCCATTACCCGTGGGTAGAAAATCTTTTCAAGTCTTGCCCATACCCATTGTTTTCGGGTAGGGTACCCACGAGTACCCATACCCATGGACAGAAATGCCATCCGTAGCCCATCCATGTCCTCACTGATAATTTGTGCTTAGTCGTCCATGTCCACCTCATTGATTAATGTGTGTTGCGGCGGCGTAGGCACTGGCTACGATGATGCAGTCCGGCAAGGACAACGGCGCCGAGTGGGGGAATCGGCTTGGCTACATGATACTCCCGTTCCACATAGCCATGCACGACGACGACCCTCTCGAGTACGTCCGGAAGGCCACCAAGGTCGCGCGCAGGAAGAAGAGCTCCATGGAATCGATCTTCACCTACTGGAGTGCGTCCATGATCATGAAAATCTTTGGAATCAAGGTGCGAATACGCAGTGTTGATCCATCGTATACATTCTTACAATGATCAAGGTGTGAATCAAGGGCTCAAGGCTAAGCCGCTAACTGAACATTCTACAGGCAGCAGCTTCTCTGTGCTACGGCATGATGAGGAACACCACCCTGTCCTTCTCCAACATGGCCGGTCCAACCGAGCAGGTGGTGTTCTACGGCCACCCGATTGTCTACATTGCCCCCAGCGTCTATGGCCACCCACATGTAAGTTGTTCTCAGGCTTGACGACAGAGTTCACTGTTTTCCGGATTAGAGCTCCTTTGATTCAAAGGAATTCTATAGGAATTCCGGAGGATTGAAATCCTTTGAAATTTTTCCTAAGTTTGTCCTTTGATTCATAGGATTGAATCCCATAGGAATTTTTCCAATGGAATCTTTTGTACTACATTTCATTGGAAATCTAACATCCGCTCCAACCTCTTTTTACAGTTTCTTTGTTTTTCCCGTGAAATCAAACACTCCTTGATAATCCTATAGGATTCAAGTGGGCATGACACTTCAATCCTATACTTTTTCTATTCCCATGTTTTTGAAAACCTGTGAATCAAAGAGGCCCTTAATTTGCTGGCTTGGTTAAATGTCTTCAGTTATTTCATGGAATACCACGGGTCGCTTAATTTTGTCCGGAAATGTGATGTCCGTCGACTATTAATCCTTTGGTTTGGCTTTGATGTGTACTACAGGCACTGACCATGCATTATCAGAGTTACATGAACATTATCAAGCTAGTACTAGCAGTAGAGGAGGAACAGTTTCCGGATGCTCATGAGCTTCTGGATGACTTTGCCGTGTCTCTCAAGCTCATTCGGGAGGCAGCTTCAGCAAAAAACACAAGACACACATAAGGATGTTGCTCAGTAGAATGTACTCCCTTCATACCTAAATATAAGTCGTTTTGGTAGGCTAAACTAGCCTATAAAAAAAAATCCAAAGATTCTCGACGTAGCTAGTATTACAATGGCAGGGCTCGATCATAGATTTTCTTCTTGATGTATTCTTCCATTGGTAAGGACTGACCATGGTATTTCCAAATATTCATGTATTGCTACAATTGCAGCGTTGTGGGGATCGACCATCTGTGATGAACATTACGTGTAAGAAACAGAGTTGGATGCTTTCTCTTCATGCAAAAAAACAAAGCTTATGTGTACAGACTATGAAGTAGTGCATCATTTGAAAATCCTGAAAACCCGAGAGATCGGATCTGAAGTAGATCGTGCAGAGGCCATTTCCCCCCTGTCTCCCCTCATCAGCATCGTCACCGGTGTGCCCACCCCCAAAGGGGGTGGGGCGTCTCCCGGTTGGTTCATACATGTCTTTTGGTTGTTTCATGGTGGTGTCATCTTAACCGCGTCATGTTTCTGGTTCGTGCAGTAGGAATTGTTTTTGTTTCGCGCCTGCGTAGCGTATTGTGTGTCCTAACAAGATCTACTTCTTCGTGAAACTTCTTGGTGCAAGGTGCAAGTCATGATGGAATAGGTTGGTTATGCTCGGTGAGTCATTAGGTGGGAGACACAACTGGGATCCTTGTCATTCTAAAATCTATTGTCGAAGCGTCAACCAACATGGATATAGAATAACGCCAACTATCTAAACGATGGAGAAAACATCTGCGCTTCTTAAGTGTTTTGACTTATCTTAACCCTGCCTCTTATTACTTATAGTTTTTAATCTTCCGATGTCTAGTACCATTGGTAGCTTCGCTTATTATTATTTTTGGGTTGTTTAGTCTTCTTTGTGTTTCTCTAAAAATTGCCAACCTTAAGGTTGGATAGAATTTTCAGAACTATTTATCTCACTTTAGTCCTTAAACCTCGATCCTGACAACGACCTATGCAATTGCTCACCATGGCCTAAACTGACATCGGGTTACTCAAGAGAAGGGTGTGGTACATCCTCCCATCTTATATGGGTCACCTTGTTTCGGAAGGGACAATCCCAAGGATACACACCTCTTGATCTGTGAATTCACGTCACTACAGGATAAACTCATAGTGTGATAGTACTAAATAATGGAGCTCTAGAAGTATGTTGGTTCTACATGCGTCTATCAAATATTTTGTTAGCCAAAATTTTAGTTGACAATTTGATTGCTCATGAATTGACCAACATAAGCAAGAAGAATGAACTAGAATGGCTAGAGAGACACCTGCATGCCAAATACTAGCAACCATGCAAATAGTGTAGACTTGACCAAAAAATGGTAGAGTAAGTTTTGGTAATCATCCAAACATACTCTTAGAGAAGTAGGAGTGGAAAACAGAGATGGATTAGATCTCAAATGATTGGCTTGGATGATTGGATTACAAATCCCTTTCAAATCAGCTCAAGGAGGTG